TATTATTATTATTATTATTATTATTATTATTATTATTATTATTATTATTATTAATACTATTATTATTATTACTATTATTTTTAATGTGCCGTACCTATTTGATTTAGGTAAATTAGCCTGCGCTAATAGCTATATATCGTTTAGTGTCTTATTATTTTTCATCGTCTGGCTCTCTCGCTCACTCACTCTCTTTCACTCTGTCACTCTCTTGTTTCTCTGTCTCCGTTTTTCTACCTTATTTATTGTCTCTATCTATTTACACACTACAATCACTATTATTACATAATAATTGTATTTACATATAAAATCACAAATTCTTGTGCACACTCGTGATAATTATTGTACTTATATACATACATATACTATTTATTATTGTTGTTGTTTTGCTCTTATCGAACACCGGACATAATACGTTAATACTTGCACATTCCATACATAATTATTGTTCAACTGAAGCGTTAAAATGTGTAGTGTACAATATAGCAGCTTCGCGAAATAAATACCGTCGATAGTTCAAACTTTTAGGCTTTAAAGTAAGAAAGGGCACGGAACTCATGTTACAATATAACATATGTCAAAATACCTAATCACATTATACACATTATATACTTTCAAGTTTTGTTTTTTTCTATTGCCGCTGACTATTGCGTTTTTTATGCGGATTTAAGATTTATTAATTTTTTTTTTTATACATCTTTTGTATATAAATATTGGACGAACATGGATTCCTTATCTAACGTCTGTTGGCTTGCACATAATAATCTTATAATTATATTTAATGCTGATGACAACTGTATTTGTATAGTGACTCTTTGGGGTTATCTATAAGATGTTTTTTTTTGTATTGTTAATACGGTGGCAATATTTATTTGGTTTAATATTATATGTATATCCAGTTGGTGGTCATCTTCATAATATTTTTTGCACATTTATAATCTATGCTATATTTTATTCATCCTTACTAGAATTTTATAAATATATTAATATTGCCGGTCTAAGCATGGATCATATCATTTTTATGATATATGCAATATTGAAAATGATTATAACCTGTATTTGGGTCAAAATTGAATCATTAATATTATTTTTATTTCTAACAGGGATATAGTCAGTTAAATAATAATAATTATTATGCTAATGTAAAAATTGTTAATGCAATGAAAGAAAAAAACATATTTAACGTTGGTTTTGATGCAAATTATTCGTTAATCTAATACAATTAATATTAAACGTTAAAGGTGATAGGCGGTGAATTGCAAGAACGTTTGATTCCGGTCCCATACAGCAAGAGCTCCACTGACCAAGCTGTAAGCCGCTTTCTTCCTTAATCTGATTTTTGTTTTTTCTTGTTTTCATTTGGTTTGTTTGTTTTTACTACTATTTGGTCTGCTATTACTTTTTCTACTAATGCTACTAATATTACTACTACTACTACGCTACTACTAGTTACTAATACTAAGACGTTGAAGCCATTTTTTGGCATTGTCTTCGTTGAATTTGTCGTAATATTTTTATTATAGTAAAGTAAGAGTAACGCGGCCATGATTGTACTGGGTGAATACACAAGTTAAAATTATAAGTTTTTATCACTATAGTGACAAAAAACTATTCAATTGCATATTTGATTTGTTTATTATTTTTATACAAGGGACTTAACAGCGATAAGTGTATTAAACGTTTGGAGATCAACGTGGTTTAACTATACTATTTATATATGTACGTATTTTATTTCAATGGAAGGGTCTATGACTAATCCTTTTACGAACATAACAAAGTATAGATGGATGGATTAATTCGGGTATACTAACTTATGCATTCGTCACTAATAATATCGGTACTAATAAGCACACACACATACAATAATTATACTTTTTTTTTAAAAACCTATTAGGAGGGAGTTTAATTATGATGCATGTGTATTATCCAATGCTAATATATTCCATTAAATTACATTAAATTTAGTATTGTAAAGCTGTGTGTGAGTGTACGAGTGGCGTGTGCGTGTGTTTATATTATTATTATATTTATGTGTGTAAAGAAGTGTTTATTTATATTTTGTCCGGTATTTTTGTGTGCAATCTTGGTCGTGTTCTCACTCCGTAGTAGGTGAGTTGATTATACTATCTACTATGGTCTTGAATTTAATTTTGAAATTTTTTTATTGATTGGACGACTTAAGTATTTGGACTTTATATTTATATTGAGTATACAGTAAATTAACGTAATAAAATTAATTTTCATCATTACGTTTTTTCGTAACATACTTATTTGTTCTTTTGTCGCATTTTTATACGCAGCATGTCAAATATCCGCAAAATGAATTCATTAGACTTTACTTAAATGAACGTTGAATCTAGTTAATACAATGATATTGGCTAATTAAAAGATGAAAATATTTGTAATTTTTCAATGAGTTTTAAATATACAAGTGTAAATTATGTTTTTTTTAAACATATTTTACTTAAAAGTTGGTTATTTACAAAAAAGAAAACACTTAATCACAAATTATGATTGTATATTTAAAATTAAGCCCAACAGGTCTCTTAGCTCATATAAATTAACCCCCAGGTCAACAGTTTAAATTCTACGAATATTCGATTGGTCATGTTGCGTGTCAGATAAGAGAAGAAATAAGTGTGTGTGGGAGCGTATAATCATGTTCAACACCTGAAAAACGTATACCGATTTATTGTCTTGTCTCTAATCAATAATATGTTGATGATTATGACCATTCAAATAATTCGTAATCAGTTATGATTAAAGTAATATTAGTAACAGTAACAGTACTTAACAGTATTAGTAGTAGTAGTAGTATTAGTCTCAAAGAAAAAGTATAACAAATCATAGAACATAGATCTGTTTTCTATGATTATAATATATATATATATATATAATAAAATATATAACAACAATGACAATACTTACTAATGCTGCTGCTACTGCTGCCTGCCCCCTTCCATATCCTTAAGTTTCTGTTTTTTGTTTTTGTGTTTTTTGCACGGTGTGTTGTTTTTCTTACTAGCTTTTAATATCAGTTGTTGTCATTGTATATTTGATAAGTAGCTTGCTCGGCTTTGATTTATTTTGTTTTATTTATTTTTGTTGTATAGTACTGATTTCTTATTCCTCATACGCACTTGAACGTCGGAGACAATACGGAAATCTTGGTTAGATTTTTTTTTCCATTTTCTCAATTTAAACTATCTATTGTCAACCGTAACGTCAAAGTGTGTGTGCAAGAGTTGTGTACGTGTGTGCGTGTATGCGTGTGCGTTTATTGCCTTTTTTTAATAATATCTTCTTTACGTATACCTTATATAATACATTTTTATATATATATACTATTTATTAAACAATATTATTCAATTATTTTCGTTATTATTATTATTATTATTATTATTATTATTAAATCCAAATATATAGTAGTAGTGTTCGGGTATAACGCGATAGCGCGCGTACGCGCGCGTGTGTGTGATGATAATAACATATTTATATATGATGGTAATGTGATAGGAGATGGATAACATTTTTCCATCGTCATTTAATAATAATAATGTTGATGGTTTTTATTTATAATTAATTTTATAGAATAAAATGTTTTTATATATAATATTATTATTATTATAATTTAGTACACTCTCGGTAAACGCAATTTAAATAATTAATACATAAAAAAAAAAAAAATCCGGCCGCCGCAGTATATAAAGGGCATTGCAACAAACATCACCCACATTTGAGGTAAGGGTATATTAGTAAATCTAATACATACATATATATATAATATATGATTATTTGTAATTATTATCACTGGTGTCGCTTTATATTACTCAAAATTACTTAACACAATAATTTATTTTGTAATTTACTTCGTTTTACCGATCCGGTTAATAATATATACTATTAATTAGGTACGTTTTATAATAATAATAATAATAATAATAACGTTGTTTTGATTTTGATTTTTGTTCGGTGTTCACATATGTGTGCAAGTTTTTTGTTGTGTGTTTACGTGTACGTGTGTGTGTGTGTGAATTTGTTTTTAATTACACGCGTGAAACCATGCTTTCATATAATAATTATTGTACTTTCGAGATAATCAATATTATATACATATTGTTTTGAAATTGGCTGCTCCATTTTTTGAGTTTTCCTTAAGGAAATCATTGTGTTTTCAGTGGAAATACATTTCACTGCCGCTTATGCGATGAGTAATGCGATAATGTGTGTGGATCATTTTTTTTTATATATATATATATTTTTTTTTTCTTTTGGTTTGCACCTAATTTGTTTTCGATTAAGTTGGATTTAAAATATTGTAACACACACGTATTTCTTTTCAGAGAATGTGGCAAGGTCAAATGGTTTGACCGGTTGTTGTTGTTCGTCTCGGACACAAGGCACCACACACACGTTAATCGATAAATACCGCGATATTATTATTATTATTATTATTTAAATGTAAAATTATTATTATAATTAATTTTATAATACATAATAATAGACGCGAAAGATCTTTTGAAACTCAAACGCGATGATATTATTATTATTATTATTATTATTATTATTATACCTTACATTTATTGATTATTGTTAATATTTTTTTCATTCGGTCTAAAGCCACCGCTGTTAATGGTTTTGTTGTTCTTGTTCTTCTTGTTCTTGTTATACTGTAATAGTAGTTATGTACGGTTATTATTAATATTATTATCATCATCGTTATTACTTTGATAGTACCTATCGCAACAAATTTCATCCATCCTTCTTTGACGATGTCTTTAATTTTACAGTAGTTTTCTTGCTGCAATGTCGTCAGATTAAAATTTCGATGCATTTCTTACGATTCTTCTTCTTCTTCTTCTTCTTCTTCTTCTTCATCATTTTACACGCAAAAACGCGTAGCGTTTGGGTAATGGTTTTTTCTTTGAATTCCAAATTTTCGTTGAACTTAAATTCATCAATTAACGTGACAATTGTATTCGACATTGATTTATAAATTTATATCACTTTATTTGTCGGTGTAGGGGCGAATGATATAGAGTTTATATGAGCATAACACTATACCGCTGTACCGATCGGTATCTCGCAGAGGCGTAACAATAACACCTATAGACCGACTAACGTATTAAACAACATTCACAGTGAAATTTTACTTTTTGTACTTATTCAATTTTTTTTAAAACACGATTTAATCTTTCGGAATCATAGTCACGCGTTTCAATACTGTTGAATTTCACTCGAGTCAATCGATGTTAAAAAAATCATTAAATAACTTAACGTTTTTGTATTTTCACGTTTTGGAATCCTGTGGCAAAAATATATCATCTAGTTTTTCCGATGACTGTAAAACCATCAGCAGTCGATTAAGTTGCGCCTATAGTGCTGTACATTTCTGATTTTTTGATGAGTCTGTTCGCCCTTATGCCACTGCAAATTATTTTTCAAAACCATTTGACTATTTGAGAACCGATTAAAAATTAGAGCAATATATAAGAATATGTCTTTGAAAATATTAATAAAACTGTTATCCATTTTTTGCTGTTATGATTTACTTATTAAACCATTCACTATGAAATTTGAAAATGTCGAAGAAATTCGATTTTTTGAACATAATAATTCCAACTATTTCTAGATGTTAATTAATATTTAATTGGTGTAAGTTGTTGTAACTAACGTGGGCTCAAATCCATTTTATTATTATTGTAGTAATATAAATAATAATAAATAATGATTAATGATATACTTAACTAACGCTTTATTAATTATTAATAACAAATATTTTAAAAGATAAGAAATTATGTTCTCGCTGCCAACGAATATTATTAATTATAACGAATACTTATAATGAATAATAATGGTAAGGAAGGGAAATTAATGGCTGTTTAGATTTTATGTACATTTTACTATTACCTATCTTCAAATGATATTATTATACTTATTATTATTATATTATATTATTGAATAGTTTTTATTGTTTGTCTATATTCACCACCGCAGAGCGTTATATAGTACTCTTCTTTATTTAGTGTTTACTTACAGATTTTCATATTAATTATTATTATAGTGTAGATAAGTGCTTATACAACTATATAGTTCATTATATTAATTATATAGGTGGATTTCGTGAATAATAAATGAAACGATGTTTCTGTTTTATATTGAGAAAATAAAAGTGCACAGCGATATTATTATCGTTAAATTTATTTAAATTATATTATTTATATTTATATACCGTTTACCGTTTTATACTACACATAATTTTATATATTAACACATAAATATGTGTATATATTTGTGTGTGTATAGATGC